TCCGTGCCGGGTTCCCGCCGACCAGGCATCCCCCGCCCTGCACCACACCCCAGGGGGTGCAGCAAGACGGGGGGCGAAAAACAAACACATATATATTCCCACAAAAAAATAAAAAATCGAAGGACAACGTACACCAGTACCAGGTACTACAGCAGTGCAGTATGCACCAGCGCATTAGTGTAGGGTAGGCACCGCACCAAAGAGGCAGCAGAGGTGGCGTGTGTGTGTTTCGCGCGTGCGGAGTACCGGCACTATTGGGGGTGACAGCAGTGCCGAACCGGCACTATATCGGGCATGCTTTAATTAGTGCCGGTCTGGCACTATTGAGAGCTCCGCCTGTGTGCAGAGATTTTACCGGCACTATACCGGGCATCTGGCACTATTCAACCGGCACTAAAAGGGTCCCTCGACTGTACTGCTATACTATCGCAAAAATGGACAAAAATTTTTGATTCCTGATGATGCATACTGAAGATGAAGAGGTGTTTTACGAAAATTAATACACCCACAGAAAGACTACCCGTTCGAGATATACCCACAGCAGTCGAACGCCACGTGGTGGATGGAGTCTTCAGTGAGTGGAGGAAAACCGGCTGAGTACTGGACTTATTTCGAGTCTCTTGAAGTCGATACACTGATGATTTACATCAGTGATACCAGCCGGTGCTAAGTACATTACGTCTGGACAGGTAACCCACATTTTACAAGACGTCATTATGTATTTCTCTGCTGGGTCAACGACAAAAATCGGGGAGAATCCGTCCGTTATGTCGTGTGTCGTAAAATGTAACCTTCACAGGGAACACGGCGCAAGCGTCGTTGACAGCTTGCTAGGGTTTAGATACGATTTTAGGGATATTATTGTTCGAAGAAAATAAAAATCACGAAATAGACTACTCGTTTTTCACATGTACAATTTGAATTTTACGGGCAGTTGTTTCCCGCCGTTTGTGAGTCTACAAAAATCTAACAACGACATTTGATCCTTTGGGGTTTACGTTGCATCGTTGATTCATGAGATAAGATTGGTATACAGGGTGCATGGTAAGTAGGACATGGCAGTCAGTTTGTATCTTGCTTAGCTTGTTTCGTGTTATGTTTGGTGTTGGTGAACAGCAGTAAAGCACGAAGAGTTTTCAAATGATACATGGATGATTGGTTGGTTGGTCGACTTCCTTGTTGCTCCTCAGAACGGTTTGCCGAGATATCTTGTTGACACCATGTCGCAAACACGTTGTAGAACATCCGTCATGAAAGGTAGCAGCGGAAGCGAGTAGCAGTTGGCATCTTCGTGTGGGGTTTGTCGGGAATATGCATCATTGGTTGATACCTGCGTACTACCAGCAGCATCATGAGTCACGCATTTCCGTTTGTAGTCGATTGCAGCAACACAACAAGACGTCTCTCTATGATGCGGATGTTGTGCAAATATACTTTTGTGTGTCGTACACGTGCAGCTACGCACCGGTTTGCCGCATCGGGAGCGTTCGCACCTTACTCGCTAAGCATGCGAACAAGGATGGCCAGTATATCAGATGGACGTTGCCGTGGCGTTTCTGCAGTATGCGATTGACAAAGACGTCTGGGTCAAGCCCGCCCCAGGACAAGACACGAAGCATCCCGTGACCGATGACATCATGGTCTAAAAGCTCGAACGCAGTCTTTATGGGCTTTCACAGTCGCCAGTGCTCTGGTTCGACACCATGGGAGACGTGCTGGTGGTGATCGGATTCAGGTCCACACAGTCCGACCCAACCTCGTCATCTTGACGCTGTATGTCGACGACATCCTCATCAGCGCAAAGGACCCCGAGCTTGTAGCTGGCCTCAAGAAAGAACTCCACGACCGCTTCGAAATGACGGACATGGGGGACGTCAGCCTCGTTCTTGGCATGCAAGTCACGCGCAGCTACGAGAAAGGCGCGCTAACTGTCTCGCAAAACAACTACATCAAGACTATCCTGGAAAGGGGTCGGCATGGAAAACTGCAACCCCGTCAGCTCTCCAGGATATGGACCGGAACTGTCGACTGATCAGCCAGCGGACAAGCTACTCGGAGCGGCAGACACCAAACTGTACCAGTCCATCACAGGCAGCCTGTTCCACCTGGCTCAATGCACCAGGTACGACCTGTGCTACGCAGTCAACCAGCTGACAAGGGCATGCAGTAAGCCTGCTCAGGTCCACATGACTGCCGCCAAGCCCGCGTTTCGGTACCTTCGCGGAACACCGGACGGACTCGTCGATCACATTCAAGCAAGGGAAACTCCACATCGCAGCATTCACCGACGCTTTGTTCGCAGCTGACCCGGAC